TCTCCCGCCCTAAAGTTGACTTTGAAGACCAGGAGAAGAATCCTCCATACTTGTAAGGCTCCTACTTTACCATAATAAAACCAAGGAATGTACATGTACGTTATCTAAAGTATACGCGGCTTATAGAGCCACGCTAAGAGCTACCATATTTTGAACTTAGATGAATGAACCGGGAGTCAAAGACATCCACAGGATCATCACGTGGTGTTCAGTGTATATAGATTCCACCGCAACAGCAAAGCAGCATTGTTTATCGTTATAACATATCGCTGAACCCCTATCCCACCATCTACCCGTTAAGGCACAAGTATTCCTATCGTCGCCTACCCGTCATGTAAGTATTGTCAGTCCAGGTCGAGACATGTTGCTACATACAGGACTTCCCCAGATGATTCAAAGTACGATGCCAGAAAGCCAGTGCTTCGATATAAACCAGCCACATAGCACTCAGCTCGTACAATTAGCGAAATTGATGCCATAAGTACTCAACGAATTCGTTGTTCATGCGCTAGTTTACCTATCCGTTTAGACAGTGGCGCTCTTCCGACCACCGACATGTAGCTGGAAATACGAATAGAAGACAACGTCAAGCTCAACAGGAACCTAAGACGACGGCCTTACTACCCCAACTCGTATTCAGAGAAGACCGTCACAAGATCTGTTGACAAACAGCTTTGACAAGGATACCCTATGAATACACATGTACTCGGCCTCGCGAGTATCCGCACACGCAAGGGAACTTACTGTAAACCGATAAGAGAAAAGGATGTTCATTCTTAGGTAGGTATTCTCGATAACAAATACAGCAGTATCATACTCGCCGCAACTCCCCCCACCCCCCAATCTGTCTCCAGCAGTCCCGCATCCCATCCCATCATTCCCATCATTCTATCTATAGATCAACCTCGGCACAGAAGCCGATGACCCCTCTATATCTACTAGGTACGCATGTAGGTAGTGCGTAATCTACCATGGGCAGCCTCTCTCCCTTACTTCGTGACGCCGTTCTCTACATCCCCGGCAAACGGATCGACGTCCGGGTCCGTGTTGCGGACGTACTCGGAGGCGTTAGCCACGTCCTGCGCGACGGCCTCGCCGAACTGGGCGGCCACGAACGCGTACATCATGTCGATGCCCGCGGAGATACCGGAGGACGTCCAGACGTTCCCGTCCGTGACCCAGCGCGCGTGGCGCACCCAGGTTACCTTGGGGCCTTGCGCCGTGGCCTTGTTGCGTTTGTGTTAGTCGTATACACACATATACTTGACTAATGTGCTCTTGACGTTTATATGGATAGAGGCGCTGGAGTGAGGTAGTGAGGCAAAGGGAAGGAAGGAGAGTGATGGGATAACACGAAGTCACACAGCATACGTACCCACGCCCAGGCCCGCTTATTCGAAGTCGCACGCCGGCCATCCAGGACGCCCGATTGCGCCGCCACGGCGCTGCCCGTGCATACCGTCAGCACTGTGAGAAATAGTAAGCAGATATTCGAGGTATCCCCCTAACTCTCACACATGGTAACTCGGAAACCCAGAAACTCAGAGGTCTTAGACATGTCTCAGGGGTACGAACGCGCCCCTTCTCCCCAACAACCGCTTGATTAAATTCTCCGAGACATAAAAGAGCAGGGAGGGGCAAGAGGGGGGTGTGGTGGTTGGAAGGGAGGGAAAAGGACGTGGGTGAAGATCAGTGCGTTCAAGTACTTACAAAACCGCAACTTCGGATACGCAGCCCGGATGAACTCCACGACCGGCGCCACGTTCTCCGGGATCCGCGTCCCGAAGCCGCCGGGGACGAGCAAGACGTCGATGTCGTCGAAGCCATCGGCGAAAGTGCGCGTCGGCACGATAGATTGGCTGGTCGTGTGGCCGGTGATGGGGGTGCCGGTGGGGACCGGGTCCAGTGTTGCGGCCAGCACGTGCAACGACAGCGGCGTTCTCTTGGATAGCAGGTTTAGGATGTCGAGGGGCCCGAAGACGTCTAAGGCTTGGAATCCCGGGAATAACGCTACGGCGAAGCGGGTCGGTGGGCTACCGCCGTTTGAAGAGGGTTGGGTCGACATTGTTGTATGTTTGGTGATAGATATGGTAATAGTTCGCAGTGCTGGTTGATAGGTAGTCTTTCGATGAAGACCTATGGGTACCGTAGGTAGGTAGTTGGTGTTTTCTTGAGATGAGGTAGGTAGGTATCGATAATTGAATGTATAATGCTAGGTACTACTTGGCCAAGAAGACGGTCCCCCGGTATCTATCCTTCGTATCGAAACGGCGATGTCTCAAGGTAACGGTCCGGAGATGTCTAATATATGAATAGGGTGCGAATGATGCGAAGATCGCCAAGGGATCGTGATCCGGGGTCGGAACCGGAGTTCTCGAGCTGAGTAGTACGGGCGACCTTACACGGACTAGTGCCGACTAGCTACATCGAATTAAATGCCGCCTGCCGAGGAACTTGCGATATACGGGACACGAGAACACAGGGGTGACGTAGCCAAACCTCCGAAGTTTATCGGGGTTTAGGTAACTAATGTTCGCATTGATGACTCAGACAGCTCCAGATGTCAACTAGTAACTTCAGGCCAACATGGAAAATATCTCCAATTGTGAGGAAGACCGGATATTAACTCGGGTTCCGGTAGGTGCGGAGGAGGAGTTATGTAAAGGTGCTAGGACTCGGGTGTAAGTGCTATAATAGGGGAGTAACAGAGCATGGAATCCTAGCAACGCAGGTTTCGTATATAGAAGCAGTACCGAATGTCGATGTAAGATGGGCCTTCCTATGGAGCTCGACTCTAACTTCCCTCTAGCACGATCCTTCAACCGCCGCACAGCCAGCTAGATAAAATCCGCGTCGTACATCAACCAGGCGCGGAATATATAAAAATACCTGGATACAGAGAAGAGAAAGTTCAATATGAATATTTGCCGTACGGGTTTTCCACCGGTTAGAATATTTCCTAGTTGCCAAAATAGCTCTGATCAACGTCGTTCTTGCTAGTACCAATCTGGATCTGGTAAACATAGCTGTCCACCTGGACGTCCTGGCCTCCGTAGATACCAAACTTAGGGTCCGCCTGGTTAGGGAACATGTTACCGGTGAGAGTCGTGGACTTGGTAGTATCGAATGTGATGGGCCTGCCATTGAGCCAGAGCTTGGCGTGGCCACCGTCCGCCTTAGCCAAGATTTCCATGCCGACCTTGTACTCGGTGCGCGTCTTGATGTCTTGCGTCCACTGCACCTTGCGGCTTTCCTTCCACTTGAAGGTATGCGTGAACACTAGCTGGTTCTTCCGGATCTCGAGAGTCAGAGGGATGTTGGCGCCCATGTCTTGATCGTTGTTGGAGCCGTATTCCTTCCACTGGAAAATGATGAGGCCGGTGGGCAGTTCCTGAGTTTTTACCATATTGTGTTAGTTTTTTGAGTTCTCTATTTTATATATATGTAGGAGGCGGTATATCTGATGGATATAATTATCCGTTTCCCTGGTGAAGGGATCTCACCTCGAGTGCAAATTTATACGTGATAAAGTACGTAGTCCCAGACTTAGTCTTGCCGTGTAACGCATGGTATTCAGCTCTGTACAGGTACTCGTATTAGTATGAATGTACTACAAAGCTCGCAAAGATATATTCTCACCTGCGGTCACCCTTTATGTGGTGGAAATGGGCAGCCGGTGTCCCCTTCCAATCCTTGTCCAACTTGATATAGAGATCCTTAGTAGTTTCCTTAGGTTTATCACCTTTGGCCTTCTCTAGATTGAGGGTCCCAAGCTTCTTGGGGTCATCGCCGCGTGCGGCATTGAAATCGACAAGGGGAGCCGCCCTTGGGGAGACGTCCTTTGCCGGAATTGGTTCACCCTGAACTGGGGAGGCCGAAAGGACCAAAAGAAGGAAACCGACAAATAGTTGCGATGGCTGCATTTTGTCTAGATCGTCGAATTGTTTATGCTGCTTTTTATTTGGCTGCTGCTATTGTTGCACAAGAAGAATCTGAAGGGTAGGCTTCATCATATATTTATATTGCCGTCCTCTGACTGTAGCTGTCTCTCCGCCGCATGATTTTTCTCCAAGTAGTTCTTGCCCCTACATTCATAAGCTGAAAGAGAGCACCAAAACATCTTGTTTATGGTGCGATCTACCTAAATATCGCTTCCCCGGTACCTAAAACGGCATATCTCGCGACATGCCCCTATATATGGCCTGTGGGCTGTGAGAAAACTGACGTAAGAGAATTCAGCAATAGTCAGCAAACTTGTCTGTATTATTGAAACCATACTCGCACTCCGATCGCTATAGTCGCGAACCTTGCTGTTTATTGGCTTCTATAGATGGGGGCATCTTGGCTTTGTTGCTCTCGTAAGAAGAACGGGGCGGCTAAGTAGTGCTAACCACTATTGCTCCTTAAGATGCGATAGATCTTATGATTTACGTTTGAAATGCTATTTAGTCGATGAATGGCATTCCTCCATTGATTCAATTATGTCACAAGCAGTTGTATCGCTACTGAATTCTGAATTCGGTATTTGATTGCTGGTTAATTTGGTGTATCTACCCGCCCATTGGGTTAAGATTCAATGCCTCTTTACCGCAGGTAAGTATCATGTATACAGCACATTAGCTCGTACGAAGCTCAACAATACATTTTTTCTGTTCGAGCAGCTTGCCGCGTTCACGCTATGTATGCGCCAGTTAAGATACCGACCTAGCCGACGACGATTATGAAATGACAGAAATGTGTATAATATCGTCGACAAAGCTCTAGTAGGTTGTACTGCCAGAGGAAAGTAACAAATTCAAGTAATTAGGTCTAATTAGACTAATATAAGTAAAATACACGCATGGTCCATGACAAGGCTATGCAATGCCGGGGGGTGATAGCGAGCCATCACTATTGTAAATTATAGCATAATAACTCCTCTCAACCCTCGAGGGACTTGGACACGTCACTGGCCTCAAGACAAGTAAATAAATATTCAGTGAATAAAAAAAAAAAGCGAACACCTGCACCGGGATTCGAACCCGAGTTCCCGGCTTTCTGACCGTGTAGTCGGAGGCCGATGAGTTAACCACTACTCCATGCAGGCTTTAGTTGTAAGGCACATTTCATCACTGAACTGCCTCGTTGCTACAACCAGTCTGTATTTTGGACTATAAACCCTTTGTCTGTCCGGGTGCTTGTGTATGGGGGAAAGGAGCCTCTGCAGGTACCTTCCTTGAAAACCACCCCGGATGGTTCGATCTTTTGGTTAGTAGCCAATAGTGTTTGTACACCGTTCCGCATGACGGTGTCTGGAAGCAGTGACTTGTTAACGGCGTGATACTAGCTCGCAGGTGACCTCAGATTGAATACCTCTTTAGCTAATTTGCTCTTGCCTTTACCTCAGGATACTAAGATGTTTGGTGGAAACACCAGGGCTGCTGACCCCAAATGTGAACTGTAATTTCCCCTGTCAGTTGTAATAAGACCAAGCACTACGTGTATGTGAGTATAGGTAGTGAATACAGATAAGGCTACAGTGTCTAGTTTTCTGAATTCACGACTGACGTCGTGATAGTAAAACAAGGAATCTGTTACGGTCCCTGCTCCTATCGTCGACTACTACTATCCAGAGTGAAAGGGGAAAAAACAATGTCTGATAATATTACTATGCCTTTGTACGTGGCCCTGCTTCACCCGACTCTCCTCTAATCACAGGACAAACAGTCTTTGTGGTTTACTCAAAGAAGAATCACATTAACTCGTTTAGACTAAGCCGAAGCTATATATATATAAATCGTCGTCAACCGCGTTTAGCACTGAATCGCGCAACACCTAACCAACATTCAGCGCGTAGCGAACCTTACAGTAGAAGAGAGTAACATCCAGCAGATACCTTCATTTAAAACAAGTTCCGCTCGAAAGAAACATGGCCAGCATGTCAAGTTCCGACCGCAAAGGCTCCCGGCCGTACGAGTCCATCGTCGTATTCTCTCCGAACGAAGACGAGTATCGAGAGCTACGTTCACGATGCGCCGAAGTCGTCGCTCGATACAATTCTCTTAGCCCATCGGCCAGCGTTACTGATTGTTATCAGATCTTCAAGCAGATGCTTCCTCAGTGCATCTTTCCACCGTTCACGAACGTCCGAATTCCGTTCTACGTTGACTACGGCCTTCGCGTTTACATCGACAACACCGCGTTCATCGACCGCGGTTGTAAAATCGTCGACACCCCCGTCGCTGACATTAGAATCGGAAGGCACTGTTGGATAGGGCCAAACGTCACCATCACCTCCGTCGGACCCCCTTGCTCTCGAACGAGTATTCGGAAATTAGACAGCGGCCGCCGAGAGATTTCGGGGGCGCCAGTTGACATTGATGATGGCGCTTGGATAGGAGCTTCAGCCGTGATCGGGCCCGGCGTCACCATTGGGCGAGGATCAGTGGTAGCTGCAGGTGCTGTAGTGCTAGAGGATGTCCCAGAATATACCGAGGTTTGCGGCAACCCAGCCAAGATGACGAGGAGAATCGCCTAGGTTATTCTCCGCTCGTCCGTTACTGGGCCGCCTATTCACATTAAAAACTCTTCTATATCTGTAAGTTAAACAGCATGTTTAGTCCTTTAAATCAAGAGCCGTGTTTAAGTAGAATATATAATTTTATTCTCTCTATAGACAAATAGAAGCATGTATAGGGAGAACGGACTTCGCCATAGCCTGATGTGAAAAACGAATCACAGACTCTCGAGTCCCCTGTGACACTCAACCGTGGGAACTAGGTAGGTAGGTACCTACCTAGACATCTTCAGCTGCCTATCCCGCGGGAGGAGACTAGACTAGAGAGACTGAAAAAACGGTTCAACCTTCGTCCCAATGTCAAGTGCATGTTAGAGGAGGGTAAATCTACTTGGAACCTTTCCATGTTAGCGACTTTCTCTTTTTAATCACGTTACAGGTTACCGTCTCTTCGTTTAGAAAGGGTTCGACCAAATAGTAGGACATCGATACTAGACTCGCATATGGACAGTTCAGGAAACAGCATTGTTTTCCGACTACTCTTGCGCTGGTTCGGCATTCTCTTATGAAATATATTCAAGTTATGCCTATCTACCAATTGAATTATCCTAAGTCTTGAATAGACATCAAATAGGCCTAGGGCCTAGTTAGGCTATTCCAGCAACATGTCTGCTGGGAGGGCTTGGAATGCTCAACAGTTAATGATATCCATACGGATACTACCGCCCTTTTATACAGTACTAGTTAACACGTCTAAACCCCTGGGGATTGTAATATCTTGATCAAATTAATTAGTGAATGTGAATGTTAACGTCAAGTAGTTGTCATGTAAGTTACTTGGCAACAGGTGGAAATCAGGGAAACAGAGAGGGACTACCATATTAGGAAACTGGGTCTTATCTGAGCCAATGGGAAGGGTCGGTCTGATGTAACGCTTAGAGTTGCCAATCGCCGTATGAAGTGCATCCGTAACAGTTCTCTACTACATACATGTAGTCTACACGTTACATTCGTAGGTAGAATGCAGGTGCCTACCTACATGTAGACGCGGTTACTTCAATGTTTAAATAGGCAGTGCCGCGGGACATCGACGAGGAAGTCACTATTGATCAGTTATGAATCGTGGGGCAGATACCTAAAGCAGGCGCATAGTCATATCAAGTATGATTCCGGCAGCCGCAGCAACAATCAATCACCACCACAACAACAACACCTACTAGGTACAGTAGTATGTGGTAAATACCTTCCACGCGTCATCTTCATCTTCATATACTATGACCGCTTCTTCACCAACCTAAACTTCTTCTACATTGCCAACGATATTCCTACATACCCCAGGTATCTCAAGCTAGCGTTATTTTCACCACTCTTTCGATCAACATTGACTTTAAGATACACTATCATTAAGGCGATTGCTTTGAGTCGAAACTGGTGACTGGACACATTCGCGCGCCAAAGGAAACGCCTGTGGCTTACGGAACGCGTCCAACTTGAACATTTGGGCCATATACCGTGTCGTAGGGCCGAAGGCCCGTCTACCGACATCATGAGTGGTCCCGGATCCCTCGAATACGACTTTATTCGGCCTCGATGCGCGTTGTGTTTCGATGACGACGAAGAGTTACGGCAGCTCGGATGCAAATGCTACTGGTGTCGCACTTGTATTCGACGTTGTATCGAATCCATGATTCGAGATAGGACTAATTGGCCTCCCAAATGCCACGGATACGAGCTTCGGTCCGTAGATGTCGAGTGGGCCGGGCCTAGCGACCTTGTCAAGAAATTCAACGCCGTAGCAGACGAGTTGGAGCTGAAGGATCCTTTCTACTGCGCAGAACCGCGGTGCAGTGCGCTACTTGACCCTGACAGCATTGTAGATGGACTAAGCGTAGTGCTCTGCGAGAAATGCAAAACCTTGACATGCAAGAACTGCAGGCAGTCACACGGTCCTGACCCTCAGGATTGCAAAGGAGCCAGTATAGACCCCGACTTACAGAAAGCTTTTGAGGAAGGCAACTGGAAGAGGTGCCCGAGCTGCGGTCGTATGATAGAGAAGCAGGATGGGTGTGATCTACTACGGTGAGTTCCGAGCCCTTCCTATATCTAAATTGATATGCCTCTACACCATAAAGCCCAGTGACTACTGGCTACTGACTATCGTACTCGTATAGCTGTCTTTGCGGTACAATTTTCTGCTACAAGTGCGGCAGAAAAGAGCCTTGTAACTGTGCCGCCGAGGAAGACCGGGAAGACCGGGCCAGATACGAAGCGGCCCTGGCACGCCTAATGGCCAAGCCGGATCGGTTGGAAGAGCACATGAAGGAGCTTGAAGGGACGTCCTTCGGACCTCACGAGCTTCAACCGTGGGACGAGCCCCCAAGACAAGAAAACAACAATCCACTCCTCGCGCCAAAGCGACACCCCCCTGGACTGAGTACGAGAAATCCACTGCTTGGTGGGCCATTCAACAGTTTCAGGGGACCTCCGGATAACCAACCCGCTCCTCAGGGCCTCCATGGGCGCCCGTTAGTCCCATATCCGAATCATGATTGGCCTGCCGCCCGACCCCGGCCGGACTACTTGAGCTATGGAAACTTCAACAACTATGTACCGCCTATTCCGAACCTGCACCCACCGGTCCCTCCCCCTTCCCATTCCCCTCCGTCTTCCCGTTTCCCTCCATCTCGACCCCAGCTTTCTTCGTCCTTGCCTTGGCGCCCTTCGCCGCGCTCTCAGGCGCGTAGTCAGGCACGGGGACGACGGCAGTACCCCAATAATGGCGAGCGCCGCCTCTCGCCCTGGCAACACCTTCTGGACACTGGGTTCCAGGAGCCGAGATTCCCACAGACGGGGAGCCCGATGCCGGAGGTGCCGCAGACCCAAACCCAGTTGTCTACCCCGTCGCCAGCCCAACGCGAAACTCAAGCACAGGCTCGGACATACACGCAGACATCCCCACAGACCCCTCCGCAAGGCCAGTCATCCAACCCGCCCGAGAAGAGAACCCCGCTTCCAGACGCCCCTCCCGTCCGCCGGCGCGGGGCGTTCCGAGAGCTCGTGCTCTCGCCAGGGCGACGATTTCTACAAAACGCATTCCAGAAGTCGACACTCCCATGGACACAGACGCGGCCGGAGACCCAGTCGCTGACTCAGTTCCCGACCCCATTGCCAACCCAAGAGGAAACTCAAGCGGAAACTCGAGCCAACGCCCAGACGCACACGCAGACATCTACGGGACCACCTCCGCACGGACGGCCGCCTAATCCGTCTAGGAGGGGTAGCCTTTCTCTCCAACCTACGGGCGCTCTTGCCATTCGCCGGCGCAAGGAGATCCACGAGCGCCTGGTCCGCGAGGCGCGAACGCTTGCGGCGCCGGCAACCGTCTCTCCCCTGCCTTCCGCGCGCTCTCCCGATACCCATACGACTCCCACCCGCGACAGCGCCGAGAATACCAGCGGCAACGAATCGTCGGACAGCGAGCCAGTGTGGATGGCCTTAACGCCAGAGAGAACGGACTCGCCGCCACCGCTGTCACCGGGTACGTCGCAGTCTACGCCCCGCTCTGCGTCTCCGCGCGTGACGTCGCCGCC